CCTATAAAATGAGAAAAGTCCGATTAAATTTCGATAATTTGTTTATGTACAAGAGCTCAAAAATGGTCGAAAATTGCCGTTTTTTTCAATTGCTAATAATTAATGCAATTTTCATCGCAGACACTTGTAATTCAGGATTTTTTAGGCTTTTTACACCCTTAAGTGGTATAAAATTTCAGCCCGAAAGCTCCATTGGTTTGGCGTTGACGGTATTTGTTTTCTAAGAAGATGCTATGTTCAATTCATTTTCAAGCTCACAGGCGTTGTAGGGTTTCGATCATTAGTTGTTTTTGTACCTAAATAGTTGTATTGACATATGCATTTACTGAGAATTTAGTTTTTCATATTTAATTTGTTTAAAAATGACTGAAAAACTGTTAAATTGTTAAGCGCGCATGCTCCGCCTCGCTCTCCCCACTCGTTCGCTAGACCAAGTAATAGAACGCAACGCCGCTATCTTCTTTTTCGCAATTAAATAGTTGAATTCACCTTAATGTTAATGTAGGACATGAAAAATGAATTGAAAATAGCATCTTCTTAGATAATAAATTCCGCCAACGCCAAGCTAATGAAGCTTTTGGGCTGAAATTTTTACTACTTATTAAGGGTGCAAAAAGCCTCAAAAATCCTGAATTACAAGTGTCTGCGATGAAAATTGGATAAATTATTAGCAATTGAAAAAAGCGGACAATTTCGACCATTTTTGAGCTCTTGCGCCGAGTCTTGCGCATAAACAAATTATCGGAATTTAATCGGACTTGTCTTATTTTACAGATTTATTTAATACCTACCTTTTTTGTAAAAACTTTTTTTCTCTATGAATAACACTTTTTTTACGCGAGTCAAAAAACCACTTTTTCATAATTTTGACCATTGTTATAACAAAGTTTCCCAACTAGTATCGAGTTGATTTTTTGATATTTTGTTTATAACACGTTTCTGAACAATATTCCGCAGAGAAACTTCTAATAGTATTTTTTTTCCCGAAAAACTGGCCTAATTATCTAATAAGATAATAAGATTGAATTCAATGACACGTAAGTCTATTTACTATTATTTATGAAAATGTAATGCCAAATTAAATAAATAAACTTTTCAGATTCGTCTAATTGATTTTACTAATTCTTACTCAACCTATGAACTCTGATCCAAATGGTGATTAATGATAATTAATTCAAATTTGCTGCAGGTAACAATAATGATCAGCAACTAATTGTAAGATATAAGTACATTGGGATAAAGGTAAACTAACATTTTGTATATTGCTGACATAAATAATCACCAATCAGTACAAATTGTTTTAAAATCTTCTATATACATTTTAATAAGAGTATAACACAATTCATTAAATATTGTTTCGCTGTTAAGTTTACATAGAACGAGAGAAGAGAAAGTAAAAATGAGACGACAGTGTTAGAGCAGCAGACAATACAAAATAACCCACAGATAACAACTGCAAATAATTTTCGAGGTTATTTCATTCTTCAATGTTTAATAGTTTGTTGTATTTAAGTATTATTGAAATTTTTTCTAATTAAGTTTTCAAGCGGCTGACTAGTTTTATTGTTTACTACGTGCCTAATAAAATAAGGAAGAGGATCAAGGAAAAAATATGTTCCTCTGGGTTTGTATGAAAGTCGGAATAAAAGCCTTTGATCAACTTGGCGAAATACTAAGCTTATTTAGTTAGTGCAGAACCCTCCGACAAATTTTTGCAACAAACACAAAAATAAAGGCACTCTGCTTAAAGAAAATTTTACATTTTTAAATTTTTTTAACACTCAGTTTATTTTATTACATATTGGCTCTCCAGGATAAGCAAAATATTTTATCAAAAATGACTTTTTCTGGAAAAATCAACAATAAAAATGTATTGGCCTAAATCTCAAAAAACATTTTAATGTAAATTTAGCAAAACATATTTAGACTAAAAGACCCTCAAAAACTGTTAGTTATAACTAATAACTAATAATTGCAATAAAAAATTAAATTCCTTTTTTTTAGGAACAGTGTATTCTAACAATAATTCCAGCAATAAGTACACCTTTTTACAGCGAATAAAATGCATGCGTTTTGACAAAACATATAGATCCCAACAAAAAAAAAATGGCAAACAGCGACTTCTGTGTTGTAGGTAAAAAATAATCTCATGCAGTTTAAAAAAATATCTTATGTTGACGGAAGTATAAAACTTAAACAGAAAAAATCTTGAAGTAACTTTTTAAGGAAGCATTTTCACACTGAGGTAAATATTTTTACACCTGATTATAAGACTATATAATTTTGTGTTCAATCCACGAAAATTTAAATTTTCTCATCTTAAACGATTAGTTTATTATGTATTCTTAGAATTCTACGTAAAAAAATTACATTCTCATGACTCCAATAATTTATCTTAATACTTTTAGTAAGTAGGATTCAAGTTTAGTTTATAGATATAAATTTTATATTTATTCACGTTAAGATACTACGCATTACTCTTCATTAAAAATAAGCCAAACTTAAATAAAGATTTGGTTGATTATTCTTGTCAAACAATAGTGAACTAATTAGATACCCTATTATAGATATTTTAGTTCTACGTTCTACCATTAACAATCACTTCCAAAGAGGAACTAACGTATTTAAGTCTAGAATAAGGTATACGCAATTAAATTCACCAAGTTATTTCGTATTTCGATGAAGTAATATTAGAAATTATTAAACTTTTTTTTAAATTTCGGTAAAGTGTGATACTGAAGTAAGCAATACCAAAGGTAATACTATAACATTTTCGTTTTAGATAAACTAACATTACTATTTTATTACATATTACCACACATATAATGGTAATAATAACACATGCATAGTAGATATACAGGGTGGTCCAAATTTTATGCAGGAAACTTCGAGGGTAGATAGATCTCTTTAAAATAATACATGTTTGCCTTATAAACATAGGTCTAGAACGGCCCCGTTTTAGAGATACAGGGTGTTGAGGTTTTTAAAAAAATAGATTTTTTTATTATATCGCACACTACCTCACAGGTGGTGTAGAAAGGAGTGTAAATAATTTTATTGATGTGCTTACAAATTGCACTTACTTTTAAACATAAACAAATATTCTTGTAATATTATCGTTAAGTGTCTGCCACAAGGGAATTGTATTGGTATGAATAACTTGAGAACGGCGAATCTTAGAGAAAAAATTAAAGTTACCTTTTTTACGTATTTTGTGCATTAAAATATAAATCAGTTACAATGACATGTAAAAAATGCAGTGACGTAGGTTTTTTTGTAAAAAAGGGGGGTGACCAGTGTCCAGTTGTACACCACTGGTTGAACCTTTAAAGCTCATATTTCAGCGAATATAAGGCCTACTATCATACATTATATGTACCAAATTTTATTGAGATCGGTTAATAGATTCCGGATATAAACAAAAAAATCCATTTTTTTTGACAACTTCAACACCCTGTATCTCTAAAACGGTGCCGTTCCAGACTTATGTTTATAAGGCAAACACATATTATTTTAAAGAGATCTATCTGCCCTCGAAGTTTCCTGCATAAAATTCGGATCACCCTGTATGTATGTCGATAAGTCAATATTATCAATATTATGATATCCCCATCCCCCTTTCAAGGCGCATAAGATAATTCAAGACCACCCTGTATGTATGCATCTACATGTTACAAAAAAAAATTATAAATGTGGTCTCTAGGTAAGGTATTTTTTTATTTAGTTTTTGTTGTTACACACCAGACCCAACAAGACGACTTTAAAATGAAGTTTAGACCAATCAGGTACCTACTGAATTGACATATTAAGTATTGCTGTTACTTTGCAAGCCGTAAAATTGTTTAATTAGCTTCACATTTTTTTACAATACCTATTAAAGTACTATTCACTATTCTTATTCCTTGTGTATTCTAGAGATTCACTACATACCTTTAAGTTAGGTACTTTAAGACAGTACATTGTTCTATACAATTACGGAACACCAAAAGGGATATAGGTATGTATTATACTTACATCTGGCAATGATAATATTGTAGGAAAGTATTTTATGAATAACTTACATAACATTAACAGTTCCATGTTTCACTGGCGTAAAAATAACATGTTAGTTTATAAACATTTAAGTACCTATGTAATAACAAGTATGTAATGCAGGTAGGTAATACTTAAATGCGGTAGGTACTTACTTATAAAAAATACTAAAAACTAATATGGATCACAATCATTTATGAAATATTAAACATTTATATGGTTGAAATCATTTGGATTCATGCTTAATTGTTATAAAAACGGCTTATAATCCTAATAATAAACAATTTAACGTTCTTACCTAATTAATTCCTTCCATTGTACTTGTGTGGAACAATGAACTCCTTGAATAACAAATAATAAAACACAAAACCCACCGGAAAACCTGACATATACTAACTAAACAAAAATCTCATTTATAATAAACGTTATTTACCACTACTGACCATAATTTGTTAAAATAATCGTTCGCTATTACATCGAATGTCAAAAATACGTCACACACTCATCCGTTATTGTTTTGGAACTGTATGAAGTAGGAGTAGGAACCGAATTAAAGGTGGGGGGTTATCCACAAGGTCATTCAGTGCTGCCAATATATATTTCCTCAAGAAAGAAAATACAGTACACTAAAGAAAAATAGAGATATATAATCGGAGAAAATTAGCTGTATATTTACTTAAATTATTCTTTTATTTTATTACTTCAACGTCTTTAAAATAACGATACTTAATATTCTGTCGTTATTTACACTTTTGAAAATAAAACACAACTATAGGAAATATAACCGAGGTAAGTATGCAACTTAAAATACTTTTAAAAGGATAGTTTGTAATGTTTGTATGCCCCCAATTACACTATGTGCATATACATACACATTGCATTGAATGCACATTACATTGAATGCATTTCTTCTACTGGAATTTACTAGCTATGTAATTTGAAATAATTAGATTAAAATAACATTTTTTATTCCTTTCAATACAGTTTATTGCATATAAATGTTACATAAACCTGGAACTACAAGTTATTTGCAAACTTCTTCAATCTGTTAACATAAAACTTTTATAAATAATGCAGTCTATTTATTTAACTTGGTAATTGACATACAACTCGTATCTAGATGCAAGAGCTCCTGTGAAACTGCATCCTACATCAAGACATAAATCGCTTTCTTCAATGTGCATGTTGTGCATTAAAAAGTTTACCCTACGGCAGAATTCAGACATCTACAATGTACATACATTGCAAACTATTATATCAATGTATAGTAAACTGCATTTAATTGTATGAAATTTACTATATTCACTGTGGAATTATTCTAGGAGTCTGCGAACAAAAAGAAATATAAATATTTCTGGAAATATACAGCTTATAATATCAGTTCAGCATAAACATCGTGATTATAAATAGAATTACCTGCTACAGATCGTTCAATTTTTTGAAAAGAGCATTTCCAAATGATTCTTTAAATTTTGGACTAACAACATTCAGAAGGCTATAAGGTGTTTCAAAGTACTCATCACCGTCAATATTGTTTTCGTCAAAATTATGACCAATAATTCGAAATCCTTGTGCAGATAATTCTACACAAAAATCTTTGTGTTCGATTGTTCTTAAATTCAAATATATGAATTGGCTAGTGCTCTTAATTTTTTCCGATATTTTTAATTCTTGCACATGATCTTTCACATCATTTATTATAGCTTCTGCCTCCAACTTCCAGGTTTCTGCGTCCAGTAAGGTTTCATCCATTTTTTTCAAATATTTTATCCACTTTCCACTTACAGCAAATATTAAATGCAATTAGATTGATAGGAAATCTTTTAAACTATAAATAATCAACATTCTTCTTCATTACGCGGCTAGCAATAATATTTATTTTAGAATTTACTATATACTAAATTAACATAAATCGAATTCAGTAAATACTAAAAAATGTGCTGAAAATACTGAAACCTGAAACTACAATAAATAAATACTAGAAATTAGAAAATTCAATCACAATCACGGAATCAGGTGTTCTGCTTGTTCATGCTTCATGCTTAGGTTATCATAGCACGATAAACTACAACCATAGAATAACATTTGATAGCGACAGTAACTGGCTACATTCGGCCGAATAAAAAAAACTCTAACAATCTCTTTACCTTGGATTACAATAATTAATCAGAAATTAATGCAAAACCACGAAAAAGAAAAGGTTATGTTTACCATACTACTGGATGAGGTAGCATGCCATTGCGAAGTGTGGCTGAGTGTGCGAGAAAGACAGACAATATCTCAGTAGATGCTGTCTCACTCTAGCTCGCCGCGATCAGTTGGAAATGCGCGCCATTATTCCATGGCTAGAAATTGGCCTCAATGATTTGGGATCGAGGGGGATTATCCCTCTTTATCCTGCCTCATCTCGTGTCGGCCTAGACAGCCTTCGTAGGTGGGCCCCATCCGTCGTCTACCCCGACCGCAAATGCGGCCGGTGTAGGCGCTTTGTCGGACCTCCTTTTGTCCTGGCTGGGCCCCGCCGGCTAGGGCCCTTTCTTCTGGCGCTCTTCTTGCTTCGCCGGCTCGTCTGTGTAAACCCCGGGGGTAGTGTCATGTTTATGTGTGGTATGGTTGGGTAGGGTAGTGCGGCTATGCAGCCTGGGATGCGCTTTGCTAAGGTGGCCCTTAGGCTAGCGCGGG